TCTCTCTATATATAAAAAAAAAAATATATATATATATATATATATATATATTCCATTTCTTTTTCTATTTTTCTCGCTCTCCTTCTCCCATTTTTAGTAGAGACGTGTTTTATTTTTATCCCCCTCACTACTACGTGTTTTCTTTTCCTTACTTTTATCTTGTTTTCTTTTCTTTTTTGTTTTCAAGAGGTGAACACTGTGTGCATGCAGATGCAGTCACATAGCCTATATCTCTACATATGGGCTTCATTCCGAACTTTATTCTCTTGTGCTCTATATATTTTTTCTTTACATGCCCAGTTTATCTTCTTATTTTTTTTCACTCTTTCATCTCCTTCTTATAGTGATAATGAACGAAAAAGATGAAGATCCGGCTATGCCGGCTGTATATGATGTAAATGTATCTTTTGCAGATGATAGTTACGATGAATTAGATTTGAGATATTGGATAAATTCAACACGACGCTTTTGTGTACCTACTGTGATGGGAGTAGAAACGACAAATGGCAAACCAAGCCGTTCGTTGCGTTCCCCATTGCCGACGAGTGGCGTTGAACAAGCACGACCTGTGTCACCTGCTGGCTGTAGTGATGAGTCCTTCACAGTGTGGGGCGGTACTCCTTTGCCACCGATTCAATCACAGTCTGTTGATGTCTTTGAAACCACACATCCCTCTCCCTCCACTCCAGAGTCGCGAAGGATGATAAAAGTAGCGCTAGACCAAAGATGGCGTTCCCATGCCAACGGCGCCATCAGACGATACGTTGTGGGGCCCAAAGTTGGTACTACGAGCAGAACTCCCGTCGTGGTGAACCCACGGTTATATCGAACTATTGACGAGATTGCCTCTCGTCTCGCGGAGGAGAGGGAGGACCGTCGCCTGCCGCATATTGTGTTTGCGCCTCCGCCTGCCGCCCCGCGACAGTTCGTTGTTCGTGAGGTCGACGTGGACCCACGTGTGTTAGATAGCGAGATGCAAGTGCAACCACAACGAACTGTAGTGACACCGGAGGAATTGCAGATGCGGATGGCACTATTTGAAAATACACTTGGAGCTGTGCGGCCGTACGCGTCAGGTGGTGAGCAGCAGCGGCGGACAGGTCGCATTCCACCTGCAATGCCCGCCTCAGCGCTCACACGTGACCCGATGGAGGTATTCGTGGAAGTGATGCGATACCAGCGGCCGGGGCTTGGCGTATGTTCTTTTGATTTACACTAAGTGGAGTAAATCTTCTATGTATTCCTTTTTTTTTCCTTTAGTTTCTCATCTCATCCTCATATAAACCCCTTCTTTTTTTTTTTTTTACACTTTGCATTTGGAAGAAAAGAAATTATATAGTTATTGGAACATTAGCTTTTTTTTTCTGTGTGTGTTTTGCTATCACCTTTGTTTATGCTTTTTGTTTTGGGGGAATAACAATGTCGTTCTGTATTTTTGTGACTCCCGTTATGTTAATCATTTTCCCCATATTACTTACTAAGAAAGCCACGCCTCGTTATAACATTAAGGAAAACGTCAGCCACAATAAAACATAAAGTTTAATATCAAGGGAAAAAAAAAAATACAGACCATTAAAAAAAAAAAAAAAAAAAGAGAGAGAGAGAGAGAGAGCGAGAAAGTTCATCAATCTTTAAATCTTTAAGGCCATGCAGACATATTTTACGGTGAATCAGCCTGTTCTCCCGTCCGGTTGGCAGATGGCCTATACCGCGACTGGTCAGCCCTACTACATGGACCATAACACAAAGACAACACACTGGAACCCCCCAGAGACGGTCGGCTATCCTTTTGGAGGCTACTACAATCCCGTGATAGTAGCTGGTACCGGCCGCGGCGGTCGGGGTCGAGGCGGTCGAGGAGGTATTGACCAGGGAAAGCGTAAGACGAAGATGTGCATGTTTTGGGAGAGCAAGGGGACATGCAATTGGGGTGATCGCTGTGCCTTTGCCCATGGAAAAGCGGAGCTTCGTTCTACACCAAGCGGCGGAAGTTCACAGCCCCAACAACCTTCACGTGAGGAAGAGACAGCACCTACAGCGTAGTTTGCGTTCGTAGTATGGTGTTTAGCAGAGTAGAAATTCCGTGAGGCAAAAAAGAAGGAAAGTAAAAGGAAATTGCTTAAGAAACGAAGAGAAAACAACAAAAAAAAAAAAAGGACTCTACGCCCCTTCTCTCTTGAAAGAAAGCGAGAAGGAAAATGTGAGAAGGATATGGAAACTGTTCTCCGAAATACCTTTTTTTTTTTTCTTTCTACATGACTCTCCCTTGTGTAATTATTTCTCTGAATGGTATTCTCATGGTACTCACCACGCTGTGATTTCTTTCGTTGTGCTTCCCTCTTTTCTTTTTTTTCTTTGCACTCACATCAATGAGTAAAAAAAAAAAAAGAGGTGCAGTAATAAAAAAGTGAGAAAAAAAAAGGAAAACATGGAACTAAACTTTGACATCCCGAGTACTTTTTCTGGAGGCAGAGCAAATTCGTTTCCTGAAGTCCCTTTCTCTTATCATGGACAACGAACAGATGCTCTTGTACTGCTCCCTTCGGGTGAGACGGTGGTATATGTAAGGATGGGAAATATGACGTATCTGAGTGGGGAGTGGCGCCGTGATCAGGCACTGCAGCCTCGGAGCTTTCGTAGTTTTGGTATCACAAATTTGGGACCATATGTCTTAGGTATTGCAGAATATGTGCGGCTCTTTTATGTTCCTTCTACTAGCCCTTTGACTCCCACGCAATGGACTTCTTTTCTTCACGCTGAGGAAGGTCTTAACACTGATTATTCAAGCTCTTTTGCGAAGAGTTTAATTTCTGCTACCCATAGAGAAATGAAGATGATTGAAGATCAATGTTGTTTGCATCCTTTTCACTACATAGCTGGTAGTGATGTTCTTTTTGATTTTGCTAATTACGCAGAGCTTTTCTGTTATGGAAGAGAGACTCTTATTGCTATCATAGTAACAAATGATAAACAACTGGTGTGGATCCCATTTGATATCAGTTCTACACTACCACCAAATCGTGTATTTACGGATTCACCCTTTAAATACGATAAGAGTAGTTTTCCCGTATACAAAATTTCTTTGAACTGGGATATGGATGAACCCAAACCAATTAACTGTTTTTTCTTTCGTTTAGTGCGTCCATCTGTCGTTCGTTTATTGCTTATTTTTGATTCAGCGTACTTTAATGTTGTAGAGTTCAAAATAAGGACTGATTTGGATAGTGATACATCAGAACGACAATACTCCCCTCTATATGAGGCGTCATGGTCTTTTGATAGTGTTCCACTCTCAACCTATTCTTTCGAGGGTTCTTATAGTGATAATTCTTTTTCTGAAATAGGAGAAGTGATGGTTATCGGCGGGGATAAGGCAAAACGGTTTGTCAAAGAAATGAAGTGTTTTTTTGTGTACGTTTCCCTCTCTACGGATGAGCAATACGTGGCAATGACAGCTGATTTAGATGGATTAGTGGCAGTGTTTGATTATGACGCTTCTGTGTTTCAGACACCGTCTTGGAATAAATGTCCACTTAGTCTGCGGTATGTGGTAAAGGTTCCCGAAGGTTGTTTTTGTCTTGGTGTGCAACCTTATGGACCTTCCATGTTTGTGGTTTTAGTAAATAGTCATACTTGTTCTTTTCTGCTCGTCTTGGATGCTGCAAATCCAAGAGCAGCCCTTAAAGTTTTACAAGTAGGAAGGTGCTCAATTAAGGGTCTTCGTGTGGATACTGAGAGAGAGGTGGCAGTGATCGCTGTTGATGAGGGTCTATTTTCGGAAAAAGCCGGTGTAAGGCGACTGGACTTACCACCCAAGTTTAACCCTATCAAATCGCTTTGCGTTATGTGTTGCGATTGGATTAGGGAAACTGCGTTTTATCAGCTTCGCGCATATGTATTACAGAATTGTTTGACCTCTTCCCTTTCGCATTCGTCTTCTTCTACCCCTTTGGATGACACCTCTATTGATTACAATGGACATAAATTTTTAAAACGGCTTCCAACATACTTTGGGCGCCGCTGCCGTTTTGGGCATATGGTGGGTCCTTCACAACCTCTGGTTGCATCAATGATGGATAAACCTCTATCAGAAGATTGGAAAGTTGTGTTTCCAGGTGAGAAAACGTCTGAAACTAGTCTGATAATGTCCTCTGAGGACGGTAACTTATCTCCTTTATGGATATGTGGTGGATGTTCTCGCCGTTTTTCTGTTATTTCTCCCTTTATTCCTCCAGTAGCTTGTAAAAAATGCTCTTCAGTTTTCTGCAGTGAATGCTTCCCATGATTTGTCTTTGGGAAGGAAGTCTTGGGACTGGATTAGAATTGTTGTTCCTGTTTCCTTTTTTTTCCTTCCTTTCGCTTTACTTGTTTTCGCCTGCACTGCTGTGGAAAGATGAAAAAAAAAAAAAACTCCTTGTAGTGGGACATCCTCTAGGTTTTTTTTTTTGTTCTTCTTTGTTCTTCTTTGTTCTTTGTTCTTTGTTCTTTGATTTTTTTACTCTTTTTTATTATTATATCTTTTTATTCAACGACAGTTACTCATGTCCAAACGGGTGACAGAGTGCAGTGATGGTAATGATGTGAATGAAATGAGAAACGTGGCACATAACGGTTCTGATGACTTGATTTCGTCTTTTATAGCGGCAACAAGAGAAGACTGGAACTCCTGGGAGCAAACACATCTGCTACCTTGTTACATAGAGAATGTTATTGTTGATGTGTTTATCAAGTATAGATTAAAGTTGATGTTTCTGGAGGCGAGACTGGAATGTTTCCGACGCCGCGGCCAGAACACAACATATTCAAATGTAATGCTTTCAGCAGAAGACTCAGAAAAGAAGATACGACGTACCATACGACAGCAGACGGAGGCAGCAATAGAGCGTTTAGCCGATGTTGCTGTTCTCTGCTGGGTAGAAGAAGATATACACCGAGAGATTGACGCATTTTGTATCGATACATTGAATGCGGCGGGCGGAACGATGCTGCGAAATATTGTGCGGGAACTCGTCGCGGAGAGTTTCTGTGGCGGATGATAAGTCTATGTGACGTGTGAGCCGTTTTTTTTTTTTTTTTTTTTT